GTATGTTTGTGCATATACGTCGATCAAGATTAGATGTCAAGGTAAAGAGATACACAAGAAAATTAATGTGTACCTCATGTGTAACTCATGCAAAAGTTGCTTGAATAACAAATTGTGTGTGTATCTATCCAATGTCATGTATTATAGAACTAAATAGGCACAGTTCTACAAACCTCCCATGCAGTTTGAAATGTAATGTTGCCATCTCAGCCTCAGTATTACGCATGACGACGCCCTAAGGCTTAGCGTAGGCGTAGACATGCAAATTCCTGATTAAAGTACAACTCCAAGGTATTGTAGACGACGTCTTGTATCTTGTAGGTAATTAGGCAGCAAATAAGTGCATGGTGCAGTGACGTATCATGACATGCTATCATGGGTCCGCAATCCACGTCAGGACTGGAGATCTTGATATGAAGCCAGCTGTACGTTAGGAGCTTACTTATTGCAGTCAAGTGTAAGCCAGGCATAAACTATGCGGGCCGCGTATTAGGGCAGCTTGAGGGTACAGTACACCAAGTCTTTTTCATTATCAATTATACACAATCTACAGTATATGGAGCCGTAAAATATTAATCTGATTAGGAAACATGAATTTTGTAATTTCCAACACTAAAAATTGACTAACCCAAGTTTTCAACCGTTCAACTTCAGTTTGCATTGCTGCCTAAGTCATCTTTTGCCAATTACACAACAAAATGTATCAAGATAAGCTTTATTACTTCTATAATTTTCCCCAGTATTAATACATTCTTGATATAGTGTAGCAATAAGTTTTACGCTACATTGTAGCAAAGTCTAAACTGCCACACAGTAAGGCTAGACCGAGTGTTTTCTGATATGGTAATGAGATTGTATCGCATGTTGCCAAGTGATGGAACAGAAAGAAATCAATATGACAGTAGCTAATATGAAATTTGCAACACATAATTTCCCAAAGTACACGGCGGCACGTCTTGTAACATCGGAGGCAATAAATTGAGAACTAATAGGAGATCTAGATGCAAAAAATATCGCAGTCATGGTTCAATTTTTACCAGACTGTACATCATTAGGACTGGCTGTTACCAATTATGTTCGAGTTATTCTTCACTACTGCCGAGCTCCACAACTGGGATTGTCGGCGGGTTACGCATCATCATGTTAGTAACATGTGATCCGGTACATATAAATAAAGAAAACGAAAAGGATAATCAAGAAGGGAACGTAACTTACGTATTATGTGTGCAAAGGACGAGACAAGTGCTTTAGTGCGTTAGTAATATTTACATAAATACAAGACATGATGGGGTGGCTCAATGCAGCAGGGTCCTCCCCAGTTCAGATTTAAACTGGGCGAGAGACCCCGCCTCTGCCGCACCAGGCTCAAGTTCGTCCCATTCCCTGATGGTGCGGGGGAAGAACGAGAGCCTGTAGAAGTTGTTTCTGCTCGCGATGGCCTGCAATGTTTGAGTGTGATTGATGCGGCGGGAGCATCGAGCCACCGGGACAATCCTGGTTGAGTGTGGGACGGAGACAGCATTATGTATGATCTTATAAAACATGAACTGACGGGCGATCTTCCGGCGTACTTACAGAAACTGTAAAATGTAACTGAACTTGTGCGTCTGTAGTCACTGTAGGCAAAACGGGTTGCTCTACGCTGGACCATCTCCACGCTACTCACCTGGTATGATTTTGTTGATTGAATAAAACTGTGTGAACTGTGTGGTCCTTGGTGTGGGGGTCCCAGATACTATAGCTACAGCCATATAGTATACTCTAAGGATAGTCTTATAAGGGCCATGTACATGTACACTGTAGACTCTTTCCTTTGCCGCAGTGGTTGAGATTCGGAGGCTGCAAGGTCTCGACATTCCCAAGGTTCAATCATCATTTTTAAAAGTGCAGGTTTAATTGTTCATTTCGCTTGATGAGGACCAATGGTCCAAAAGTTAAGTGTCTCTTTTAAAAGCTTCTGTAGCAATCACAAGTCTACAGTCCAACTTTTACGGTGCTTAATTAGACTCATTGTCAGGACGTTATGTCCACATAAGCCCAATTGAGGAGCCATTTCAATCATAACTAGTACTGGACAGTTACCAATTGTTAGAAGCCTATGTTTCTCAAAAGCTTCAAAGCAATCACGAGTCCACCGTCCAAACTTTATTGTCACCGTGCTCAATAAGGACAGTTATATCTATTGTCAGGAAGTTATATTACAGAGTCATAGTGCAATAATGACAGGGCAGTTACCGATTGTCAGAAAGCTAGGTCTCTTAAAGCCTTTTATAGTTAAGATGGCAATCACAAGCAGGACATTCACATTTCTATGGTGATAAGTTAGGAAAATTGTACCTGTTGTCATGACAGTGTGTCTCCAAGAGACTCTCCATAAAGCCCATTGCAAGGACAGGGTTCAATTATTACTGTACCTGATTTGGACAGAGAGCTATGTCCGCCTAAAACTTTTAAACTTGACCAATCAGCTCATGATCTCAACTTTTTTACAGTCCACAATCAGGATACCGGTAGTTAGATCTATCGATGGGTCGTTGTCATCATTTGGCCAATTCCGGGCTTCATTCATTGTAAATGACTGGGACGTGGTCAGAAAGTTGTATTTTTTCTAAAAGTTTTTGAAGCTGGCTCACTACCAAAACAAAACTTTCTTTAGTCTTGGATGTTGTCGTTCTAAGCATTTTCAAGTTTGATTTCTAACGTAAATGACTCGAACATGGCTAGAAAAAGCTATGTCACTTTTCGAATCAAATTGTACTTGTCCCAAGCACATGTCCACAGCAAAATTTTACCTAGTCCTTGTTTTGGACAGTTTATACTTATTACTTATTATAATTGCTATGTCATCATAAAGCCAATAATTCTTGATTTTTGCCCTAAATGACTTGGACATGGTCTCGAAGTTGTCTTCTTTGAAAGCTATTGAAGTTTGGACCAATCACTCCCACAGCAAAACTTTCTCTAGTCCTTGGCCTGGAGTCTGGACAGTAATACCTATTGATGAGAAGCTTTGTCGTCCTGAGCCTTTCAAGTTGAATTTTTACCCTTAATGACTCGGACATGGTCAGAAAGCTATGTCTTTTTAAAAAGTTTTCATACTGACCAATCACAAGTCCAAAGTTCGAGACTTTGATACTTTGACAAAGCCAATTGAGGACAATTTTACCTCTGCGGTGACGTTAGTCTCATAGATGAATTTAATTCCAAGGCCAGAGCTCAATTATGGCCATACTTCAATTGGACAAGTAGACCAATGGTCCCTAAGCTATGTCTGATTTTGAATCTTAGATTTCACTTGAACAATCTCGCAAGCTTAAAGCTAAATGTTTTAAATCCTGAATCAGGAAAGTTGTACCTATTGATGAGAAGATCTGTTGTCATAAGCCAATTCTGGTTTGATTTTTACCTAAAATGGCCCAGGCATGGTCAGAAAGTTGTTGTCTTGTTTAAAAAGTTTTGCACTGACCAACCATAGGTCCACAGTTCAACTTTTAACAGAGCCAATTGAGGACAATAAATAATGTATTACCTAGCTACTGTCATGACATCCTGTCTCATAGATGAATCCATTTCCAAAGCCAGAGATCAATTATTTGGACATGATTTGGATAGGTAGTTACCAACGATCTGAAAGCTAACAAGTCTTAAATTGCACTTGACCAATCTCACAAGCCCCCAATCAGGATAGTTTTACATATCAGTGACACACCATGTACTATAAACCCAACTTCAAGGCTCACTCACTCACTCACTCACTCACTCACTCACCCACTCACACTCATTCACCCACCCACTCACTCACTCACTCACCCACTCACTCAATCACTCACTCACTCACTCACACTCCCTCAGTTACACACTCACTCACTCCCATAGCTGGAAGCTGTAGGGGCAGTCAGGCAGTCCGCAAAATTCCTAAATCTACAAAATTCCCCTATCAACTCTAAAAGTCTAAATATAAAACAATCCATGGCCTCTAGCACACTGGCATTTACTCATGAAAATGGTACACGACTGGAGTCAAGGTAGCTCCAATTATCGCAAATCTGGTTCTGACCTTTGCAATCAATAGGGCATCAATCAATGGACTTCCAAGAATCTTTGAATCAATCAAGAAATCCAGGGAAATGTCATGCCCCTGGCCTGAGGTAGCCGATTGTTTTAGGCTAGCCGAAAGATGAACTTAAAAGGAATCTTCAAAATGTTTAGCATAAGGATACCTATGACTATGTAGTATATACCTTATATTACAAGCATTCCAGCTAGGCCTGCCTAAATGTTTAAGATAGCATAAAAGGTCTTATAATTCATCAACACTTCAACTGTAGCGCTTCAAAATTGGTGCTTCATAATGTCCAGGTCGCCTGAGAGTCGGCATATAAATTATAATATACATTTACCAATAGATGAATACACTGAAAAACTGTACAGTACATCAATTTCATCATCAAAATCTTTAAGACTACCCGGTAATATCTTGAAAATGACATTGCATGTTTCATCTAGACATTCTATACTACCATACGGTGCACGATTTATGCCACAAGAGCATTAATGTTGACAAGGTTAAGTGTATGATGGTTACACTGGCACACTGCACACATTTACACATGCTAACATACATGTAGAGGATTGTGCTTGCATAGCTGTGTAAAGCCCACGTAAGCTCTCTGCACTTAACTTACCTACCTACTATGCCTACCACTAAACCTACTGTCTGCAGTTAAAGTTACGATTATAAACCCTCCACTACTTTGCAAAGGTCAGAGTCTTTCAGTCAGATTCCTGCAAAGGACTTTGTTGTTAGTTACTGTAAAACAAAGGAATTTAAACTGATATACTTGAAAAGTTGGCACCACCACTATAATGAAAACTACATTGTACCAGTCCAGCTTTTGAACACACTTATTGCACAACACACAGCAGTTCTGTTTGGTCCATGGAAATTTGTCAATCCATAAATTACATGTGTATCTTTGAAAAGTATTAAAAGACAAATAAAAGGGGGAGCCATGACCATTTATTGACTTTTAAAACATTACCAGGACTTTTAACCATTCATTCATTCATTTATTCAGCTCAAAAGTAAATGAGATTTTCCAAAGTCTTATTGGTATGGTAACCAGTGTTCCATGTATATATTTGATACTGAAGGAATCATATGTCCCAAACTTTCCACAATACCTGACACTGCTCATCAAAAACGTCAGAGACATTCTAGTTAAAAACAAATCAAGTATCATCTTTACAATAAACTTCATGATAAACTGAGGGTTAAAAACAGTGACAGAAATGATAAAATGAAAGATCTGGAGAAATATTCCCCTTGAAAGTTGACTGACTTTTAAAATCAAATTGTGGCAAGGACTAAGTTCTAAGTTAATGTAATAAACAGTTACTGTATACATGTTAAACTCAATTAAAAATTCTTAACTGAATAAAATCATAGCTTAATACTGGTGAGAATTTCTTTGTCAAACATGATCAGCATCAAGATGTGCGTAAACCATCAAAATGTACTACACAAAAGAAAACCTTCACAACATAAGCAAAACATTAAAAAAATATAAGTAAAATAAAATAAAGTGTAAAATAAATTCATTCAATTTGAGAAGTGTCAGAGCTCTAACTTGGTGCTTGTTGCTAAGCTAGTTGGCTTGTGTCATTTTCATATTAAAATAAAGAGTCTATGTTTTTGTCATGGCTTTTGCGATGGATGGAACTGAAAAAAATGTACATTTTTAAAACACGGATGCCTGTCTTCATGGCAAATACATTCTATGTTTTCTTTTGTAAAATTCCCCTTTGCTCGTATTTACATGTTTGTGTTTTTGACTTGTCTTTGCTGATCAAAATTGCAATAAGTACAAGTAGTGCTTTAAGTACTGGCCATTTCTTTGAGTCTCTGGTTTGTAGAACCAAACTTTCACTTTTCAAAACTTTCATTTTCTTGGAATTCAACCTACAATTCCAGACTCTTTCCATGATTTTCCTGGAAGCAAACTGAACTTCCCTGTTTCCAAGAAAGATTTACATAATTATTAAGTTATTTAAGTACATGTATAACTCACAGTGAACTACACATTTGTGCATATTTGAATACAGCTACAGTCAAACCTGGCTATAGTGAACACTCAAGGGATGTGAACAAATGGTCACTATTAGCCAGCTTGGGTCAATGAGGGACCACCAAAAAGTGGCCATAATGACCAGGTGGTCTTTATGCAGAAGTGGTCAATAGTATATATACGTAGTACAGGTTTGACTGTCTTTCCAGAAGTACATGTAGTACATTTTAAAGTGCAACTAAAAGTGATGAAGCTTTACATGTTTACCTTCAATAAAAGCTGTGAACAAACACACAGCGACAAACATTCAACAAACAAGAAACACAGTAACACGAACAAAACTTAACATTAACATCCATCTAATATGAAAGTTTTAACTTTTGATCCAATTGCATGACCCAAAGAGGAAGACTGATCAAGAAGATTCAGTCAAAAATTTGTGCAGTAAAAGCCAGTATGTCATTTTTCTTGTTTTATGATGTATTTTTTTTTCTGGATCAGAAATTAAAACTTTAAAACAACAGTTCACATGATGGTGGTCATGCCCTGGCTGTTTCTCTTCCCGTTTTCACCGTCGCCCGTGGCAACGACCTCCAGTGCCCCCTCCTCCTCATCCTCTGGTCTGGGCGTGACCCGCTCGGGGACCACTGATTGGTCAGGATTCTGCCGCATCTTCGGAAAGAGGTCGGAGACTGACAGACCCTGGAAAACGCCGACAGGAATTCAGTTTTTGCCTAGAACTACCACGGAGTGGAACTCACTGCCACCAAGTTCTGTAATTCACGGTAGCAAAATTTCATGGTCTGAGAAAAGTGGACATGTTCACTGAACTATACATTCACGGTGGCGACAGGTACAGGAAAAAAAAGGCCAGGAATTAGTTGTTAACTATTATAATAAGTTCACGGTACAGAAGCGACAGTGAAAACAGTGAACATAAAAGTACTGGAAAAAATCTGGAATTACAGTACCTTGTCCCATATACATGCCTATCTTCTGCTAGTATGTGTACATATTCATACAGCAAACACTTCAATAAAAGTAGTTAGGACATTTAAGCAGCACCTTATCAGCCATAACAAATGACTTACATGCATGTAATAAGATATTTCCCAAAAATAATTTCATCTGGTTGGTAGAACATATAGGATATCGAGCTTTTCTTTTTACAAACTTTACAAAAAGCCACTTTTGGGACTGTGCTACATATAGTCGGCTATTCCGAGATCAGGGTGCGCCAATGGCATCGTACATCGTTATGTCAATCTTACTCTGTATTTATCGCATTCTGTTGACATTTATCAAACTTGTTAAACTAGTACAGTTATTTTCCAGACAATCAGGAAGAGATTTGGTGTTAAGATGTTTAAAACTTATGCTATGGCCAATTTAAGACCAGAAATTGGCATAAAATCTACGTTATGCTGTTGCACTTGAAAAATGCCAGTTTTTGAAATGTGCTTTTAAGTAATTTGGGAACAAAAAAATAGAATGAAAAGATTTGCAATATGTTCAGACATGCTCAGTCTGATATTTTTTGCAAAAAACCTGATGATGATTGGAAATTTCTCTTTTCTAGAGCGCATTTATCAATATGTTGTACACGTTATGTAAAATTCATAAATTAACACATTTCAATTAACTTATCTCCCTGTACTAAAAAGGATGGTGATAGAACTGGCCATTTTGCATGTTATGCAAGGTACATCCATATATGACACAAAACATGTGTTTTTATGTTGCTTGTCCTTTGGGTTAATATGGCTGATGGCTTACAGTTACCTGTCTTTTTTGTCCGAGAAAATGTGTAGTGTCCGTTGCTCGGTAATAACTTAAAATAGAAAAGCTGTGGGTGCATATGATTTCAGGTTCTGAAACAGCTGAAGATGCTGACTTAAAACACAGTAGCTATTTCAGTCTATTGCTGTAATTATATGAAATAATGTCAAAAAACCTCAAGGGTGTAGTGTCCGTTGCCATGTAGTGTCCGTTGCCAAGTATACCATGTAGGTACATTAATTACATTTTGTTGCAATTTTGAAGTAATTTTGTCATTTATGTTACTTCTGTAGCATTTTGTCAACCCCTAAATGACAGGTCTTGCAAGATTTGGTGTTCTTGTCATGTACTTGAGTGGCCAGATGTGGCCGGCAACGGACACTACAGCTTACTACAGCTTAGCTGTAGTGTCCGTTGCCGGCCACATCTGAAATGAGTGGGCTAAGTTTGGAAGAGCACAACTTTTGAACCAAACGTCTCTATCCAAAAATTTAAAAAGTGCAATGTATGGCAACACCTCTAGTGCGATTTTCTGCACTGAAAGTAGAAAAATATAAAACTTGAAAAATTGGCCCAAGTGCAACCCTTTGGCGCACCCTGATCTCGGAATAGCCGAGTGGTGAGAAGCAGTACTCCAGTCAGAAGCTCTGAGGAAGATGTCTGACAGACATGATAACATAAGCAGGTGAGAGTTATCACCCGTTGTGTAAAGAGAAAAGCTCAACATCCTGTGAAGATATTGTTGTTCTAGTATATGTTAGTTTTGTTATTAGTGTTACTCTGTTTGAATGTCAGACCCAGGAACACCTACAAGACACACAAAACTTGCCCTGGATGAATAAGATAAATGGTTAGATGAATAAACTTCTGCAAATCTTAACCACCTTAGTCCCAGAAATAGGATTCTACCGTATTCACTCCAATCTATGCACACATGTAACGTTACAAGTATAGAATAAATGCTTGATTCTAATTAAAATTTGTATCATACAAAAAAGTTAAAAAATAAGCTACTCAGTACAAGAAGTAATTGATTTTGTCTAATATTTTATAAAAGTGTGTAGAAATTGGAGTAAATACAGTACACATGAAATAAGTCAGTTGTTGTCATCACCGTAGTGACTTATCAGCTGCTCTTCCTCCCTGACAGGGTTCTTCTGTAATGTCTCCTGGTCCGGCATTTCATAGTAGATCTTGCTAAACTGGGGGAAAATGGCAGTTTTTAACAGTGTAAAGAATCCAATCCCCTACTGTCAAACAGTGATTCATGATAGGGACTCACAATGGTGTGAGTACAGCACAGTCTTCTGATTGTAACAGCTCCCCCTTGAAGAATTGTTTCAAACTGCAGTAGATGATTCCTCAAGCTTCTACTAGTTCTAGGGCCCTATCATAATCCATTAAGAACGTCGCTCCAGTGGTGTTTGTCGTTGTTGACATAATGAACAAAGGCTTACACACACAAACAAACAAACAAACAAACACACAAACTCACCACGAGTAGGGCCACGAATGTTCCCAGTGCAGTTCCAGCCAGAACGTCGCTCCAGTGGTGTTTGTTGTCGTTGACATAATGAACAATGACTTACACAAACAAACAAACACACAAACTCACCACGAGTAGGGCCACGAAGGTTCCCAGTGCAGTTCCAGCCAGAACGTCGCTCCAGTGGTGTTTGTTGTCGTTGACGCGGGACAGCATAGTGAGCTGGGCCAGGATCACCGCAACCACCTGGAGAAACGGCTTCAGCAGCCACGACTGGCGCCACGTGATACGGACCTGCAGGTACAACTGGTTAAGAGATAGACATTGACACGTAAGCAGGTGAGCATTTCTGGTTGTGTAAAAGGAAACCCAAATAGAAAGGTAACATTTACAAAGCAAATGCATAATGTTTACCTTCGCATATGGTCTGCTTTGTTATTTCTTACTCAAACACATGTATATGGTGACAGGAGTCTAAATCCCTCCTGCTATGAAAATGCAACATGATGTAAGCCAACACTAGTCATCATGGTAACAAACAGTCTGGTTCAGGTCATTGACCTTTTTGGTTTGGAGAAGAAGAGGAAACCTAGCAAAAACAATATGTTTTTATTCGGTAAACATAAATATCCTATTACCAACCAGAAATCTGATGATGTTTTCGGAAGTATATAAGATACTCACCACCAGGTAAACCATGAAGAAAAATGACAGAGAGGCGTGGCCAGATATGAAGGACAACCTGCAGAATCAGACAAACATCAGTTAGAGACCAGGTCTGGGAGTCACGCAAACAAACTTCTGTCAGAGAGTCAGTAAAACTCCTATTGGAGACCAGGTCAATGTGTAAAAGAAAGTTCTATTTGAGACCAGATCAACAAGTCCTGTCAGAGACCAGGTCAGGAAGTCAGAAAAACTTCCTTTAGAGACCAGGTCAAGGGGTCAGAGAAACTCCTGTTAGAGACCAAGAATATGAAATTTCAGTCAAGAACTAGAATACTACATACATAATATCCATGGATTCTGTAACCTCCTTAGCAATAGATAGATCAATAGATTGATTGATTGACACTTACCTGGATTCTCTAATTTGATCAGGGTCCCCTGTACAGACATAGTCGGTGACATAAACGTAGCGTCCCATGGCGTCTGTGCAGTTAAACCTGCTGTAATCAGGAGCACACACAGACAGGAAGTTGGGACGCAACCGACCAATCGTGTACTGAAAAAGATGTGGTACAAAGCGGAACAAGTTACTAGTATTCCAAGCAGTTTCTCCTGGCTTTTCCCATTTTAGCAATCTACAAAAAGCTTTCTACTGGTTTTCTACTTCAGTCAATCAGTGTTTTGTAGATTTCCAGAATGGAATTTGAAGAAATAGGACAAACTAAAAATGCCTTCAAAGAAGAGGTCACAACCGGTGCCATTGTACACTATATATGTTTTATACCTTTTTACTGTTTTCATGTATAGTATGCTAAATTCTTAGTACTACAGTACTATTCTATGCCATAGTACCTAAATGTACTACTGTGATTTTTTTGCTTGCCACATGCAGAAGTCTTTAACAAGACCATGCCATGAAGCTAAGATATACACACTGAGACGTCCATCCATACCTTAAAGAGGTCAGTAAGACATTGCGTGGACAGAGTGCCGAATAAGAAGATCCCGACCGTCTTGTACACGCGGATGAAGTACGGAAGGAAAGGAAACTTCTTCTTCTCTTCTCCTTCTGTCTTGGTCGTTCTGTGGATATAAACGGCTTCTCCTACCAACATCTGTAACATGGGAAGGAAACAGGACTTTCTTAGAAACATCTTATTAACGTCTTACAGAAACTAAGACTCCTTTTGCTACCTTAAGTGACTGATGCTTGGTCCTGTCCAATGTTAGTATTCTTGTTGAAAAGATCTTTGTTTTTTGGAAATTTTGAATATTCCTTAAATTTATTAGCCTTCAAAACTTTTGTTTTCTTTCATTATAAACTGGAATTAAATATTGCATACTGACAAGACAAACTACATAAGCACAGGAAAGTGGGGGAAATTCAATACAGTATTTTTGGGTTAAATTAATTGGAGCTTATTCTACACAAGATGATAATATAATTGAACAAATGAGGCACAAACTCACACAAAGCAGGGGGATGCCCCCACCGAAAATAACCAGCATCCATGTTGGGACGGTGCTCTCGTAGAAAGGGTAGCTGATGGTCTGGTCGTCACAGAAAAACCCTCGCTGGGACGGCTGGCCCGCGAACTTCAGGATCATGATGGGCAGGGCAACTGTCAGGGGGATGAAGAAAAGGACTTATTCTTGTATCATCTGACTTGCTTACAGGTAAGTATATGAAATAACAAGATGTCCGCGACCTCATAGTATCATACTTGATTAGTACTTTTGCCAAATGAAGTTCAGCTGCAGTAGCACAAAAAGCTGCCAGGGGCCCAAAATCTAATCATTTCCAGTTTTTATTGCAACCTACCAGCATACCAAATATCCAAGATCCATTCAGACGTTCTTGAGTTACATATATTTTGTTCATCATCATCATATTTTGCCGCTCCAACTTGTTGCTATACTTAGCGTTGCCTAACAGACAGACGGATGGACAAACACTATTCAAAATATAACCTTCTGGTATTTATAGGTAATCATAGAGAGAAATTTGAATAATGTAAAACAAGCTACTGTGTGGGTTACAGGTGCAATACCACAGACACTAGCTAGGTGGCATCCCTGCACTGCGAGGTGACTGATGATGCAGACCTGATGATTTCCACCTGTGGTTTGTTTATCTTCGCTGATGCTTCATCCAAACATCAGACATTCCAGACATCCCACTTTTAACCTGCTATAAATCAACTACAGACCTGGGAGTTTTAACAAAATATATTTGTTGGCTGCAGTCTAGTTATATCTTAAAAAAAAAAGCCAAGAAAAATACACTGTTATAGCAATTGACCTTTGACTTTTTATTCCTACAAGGAAGAAGAACCTGTTTTTCAGGTATCCCTGAATGATGGTACCCTTACAATTCCTGCATGTTTGTGTACATAACTGGGGTCCTCATACATAAACTATGTGTGAGAACACCATGCCTACCTGCCTACCTGCCTATGTGCTCAGGCCAGGTACTGGGACGGCCTGGTTACCATTCTCTGTGGGCTGGCTTTGGAGTGTTTTGGCTCCAGTTTGTTGGCAAAGGCCTTTTCGATCTGGTAGTCCAACTTTCTTTCCAGCTTTCTTTTCTAATAACTGCTGTCTTCGTGGCAGTCTAATTGAAACCCCTCACATGCACTGGATGGGCGGGCACACTTAGTCCCGACAACACTTTACGCAAACTTTTGAGAGCCAGCTACAAGCAGCTTCCCCCATTACACTCTACGATAAATTCTAGGTAGCTACAACACTGATTACAATAAAATAAAATAGCAAATTACGCTGTAAACAAAATGCCTTCACTACACTCTACGTAGGATTAAAACGGCCGATTACGCTCTACGGAAAAGGGCATGCGGGCCCCCTTATGTCGTATACCAGGCCATAATTTGTCTGTCCTAATACATACAAATTACAGCTACCTGCTCTAAAGCACCTGGGCTGATCACCAGCATGGATTTCCAATAAGGGAACTGAAATGAGAACTACTACAACAACTGGAGGCCAGAATTGGGATTTAATTGCAGAGGAGTCAAGAAAGGGCCGTGTCACTGAAACTGGGCCTCTTCTGCTTGTGCTATGAGTATGATTAAATACAGGGCAAAAATCATTGTGTGGTGTGATGGTTGAGTATTTGGCCCTGAATCAAGAAGTTTTGGGCTGGGCTCAAACCCCTGACATGCCCCAGTGTTGTGTCCTACTGCCAATCCTTCAAACCCTCATTGCAAGGACATCATACAGGAATATATAACTTATGTTCTAGCTTTTATTACCTGTATGATATTTAATAATAAAAAAAATAATAATACAAATGTATAATATACCCCCCCCCTTCGAGAAAGGTACAAGAAAAAAAACATGTTGATAAAATAAATAATAAGATGTAATACTTCAACAAGGGAATCAGAATACAGAAACTAAAACCAAAATTAAGGCGACCCCCGCCCCTTCAACTTGCCATTGACCAATGCCCCTGCCCCGTTATCTGCCAAGAAACGTCCCAGTGGACAACAGATCCGGAACGTGCACAAAAGATCGTTTCCACGCCAAAAATAAAACTCACCTATCAGCACACAAACCAGATCCACCAACACGTACACGAGATTCTTCGGAAACCCGCACATTTTTTTTTTCTCGCCGCCTAAAACAGGGCCCTGACCTAAGTAAAACGTCCCTCAAGGACCGAGGAATTCGGATAAATCGCCCGATAGGACGCGACGTGCAGACTGCTCAGTCTTCAAGAAGGCGGGTCGCTTCCTTGGCGATTCCTAGCATATAAGGCGAGTTCTTCCGGCTTCAAACATGTGTTGGGACGACACGAAACATGAGTAACACTTCCCGGTGTTAGTAACGCGTTCCTGGAAGGCTAGCCCTACGGTTTAATCGCCGGAAACAAAAGCCGGCTGTCAGACAAGCTTGCACGGTGACTGGGTTTACACGTACATCACACGCCCAGGTCAAAGGGCATAGAGGTGCACCGTACGGCAGCGCCACCTGGCGGAATTATGAAGAACGCCAGGCAAACAGGCAAACCAAAAACTTCAAGCAGATGTTGGGTACGACATGTGTCGAACAGTGCAGCAGCGTCGTCTGCCGGAACTATGAACACAATGCAGACAGGTAATCTCCAAGCAGACGTTGTGTGGGACGTGTATCGCGATGTGCACCGTTCAACAGCGCCGCCTGCCGGAAGTATGAACACCATGCAGCCGAGTAATCTCCAAGCAGATGTTGTGATTGGACATTTTCCCATGGGAAGTTTATGTGTCAGATATTTTATGTAACTTTTCAACACTCAGAATGTTGATGCTCTTGTTTAATTTTAACGGTTATATTTTTATGTTAAATGAACTTAAATCAATAAGGGTGTGCAGATTCAGTTCATGTTTCATATCTTTAATTTTTTTTCGTTCCATGATGCTTTTCATTAGAAGATCACTCCTTTAGCTCGGCATTGCGCATGCTCGGCGTTAGCCTGTGATCAAATCTGAAAAGGGAAAAAAATACAAGAAATGAAGTTGTCTTGATGTACTGCAAATCATCAAATCATCGAAACATTCGTTGTGATTTCGTTTGTTTGTTTAATGTTTATTAATGGGATTTTCCATCTGTTTTATTTCAAGAGGAAACCACAAACACCCGCTTTCATCCCCCACCACAACCCAAATCAATTTCTAATATGGTCCAAACTTTATAGCCTCTCTACCAGGCCCCAGAGGTGACTGGAAAGAGTAGAACTTGAATTGCCCGAACAGACAGATAACATGCCAGGGGTACAATAATAATAGTAGTAGTTCGCCAAATGAGTACAATTTGCCGCTCTACGCACTCCCTTGGCATGTTAACTGTCTATTTGGCCAATTAAGTTCTACTCTTTAAAGCCGCCTCTGTGGCCTGCTAGAGGCTACAAACTTTGAAGAGCATTGATAAGAATATTGATATGGTTGTTACTTGGCTGAAAGAATATTGAAACGGTCCCTTATACTATCAGAAAATAACCAAGGCTGCACGGAAGACAAGGAAACGATGGTTTACCAATTAAACATCGAGTGAGTGTTTTGTAATATTACTTTTAAAAAAGTTTAGATCGTATTCCGCAGCAGTTCTCAGAAAAGTCATTTGTTCCACTTGTGACCATTGTTAGCTTCCACTGTCTGTATATTCTTTGTTTCATGTTGCAGCAAGAACTTGCAAATAAAAACAGGCCAATGAAAATTCAGGATAGAAAGTACTTGTTTGTAACTGATGCGATGAAACGGAACTCACGATTGGCTCCTTGATGCACTGTAGTGGTGACGCCGACCCAGAAGGTAGAAAACTCCGCCACTATCGTGGCTCTGAGCAGAAAATAACAAGCAAAATTTTATAAACGAATAAAAAATTTGCCAGGGAGTTCATAATTTTTATATAGGGCAGATCTATTGTGGAAGAAATAAACTGTAGATGAGTCGACATAACCAAAGACGGGGGACGTTACAAGCTACCTACATGTAGCATATTTGATCCCACACATGAGCTACATTGTCATGTTATTTTCTTAGTAGCTACCTTTTGGATTCTCATAAACAAATGACACATTGATAATATACACCCCTCACGTCAGAGCCACAGGCCCGTGCAGATTGGCTGGCGGCACCCACGTGACCGTGACGCTGTCCTTGACGTCATGTCCGGTGACGTGCGTGGCGGTGTCGTCAGCAGAGAAACAGTTTTCTGTCCTGGCGCTCGCTGGCAGGTCCTGGGGAAATATTGATCAAGATTGATAAATTGATTGATATTGTTTGTTTGTTTGTTTGTTTGTTTGGTTGGTTGGAAACAAAGGAGATATAAAAGTTACAATGTACGTCATATTGATACAAGTTTAAAAAAAATTGTAGACAATCGTTACCTTTGATATTATCTTATATTCTCATAAATCGATTTAAAGGAAAGGACATGTCCCGAGACGGCCCCGTACCTGGAAAGCCCCCACGGCGCCCACAGGGTTGGAGCCGGTCGCGAACGGACTGCGGGCCTGCAGCATGAAGCCTTTAAAGCCTCGGGACCCGCTGATCGTCACTGCGAGTACAGAGTAGGGTCATATCATCACACTGGGGCTAAAATGGCAGAGTGTACAATTGCAAATTTACGACTAGTCAAAAAACGCCCTGTTTGCGATCGTACGACCATCGTACAACGTATACATGGCCGGATCATTAAGGTCTTCAGTCATTCAATAATGTTACATTTCATTTGTAAATTCATTTTCATATGTTTTACCAGAACACACTCAGGTCCGTAACCTGAAAGATTCCTGAAACCCACTATTGTATCCAGCACCGTGCCTATCTGGTTCTATACCTGGATGGGTTAGGGATAGGGTTAGGATGCAGCACGGTCGGGATAGTCTCCGTATCAAAGAACTACTCTCCAAGCAGAGGTTTGGGTTTTGGGGGTATTTTAGCGTGTTTTTAGGCTTTTTTATCGGGGTTTTTCTTTTGCACTGAATTTTTTTTTCAGTGCAAAAGAGAAACCCCGACAAAAAAGCCTAAAAACACGCTAAAAATACCCCCAAAACCCAAACCTCTGCTTGGAGAGTATCAAAGAACCGTAGATTGGCGCCAGACACGGTTCTGGATACGCGTGGGCTGTCCAGAACCGCCCGCGGCTGAACCGTACCTCTGGATAAAGCGTG